GGTTATGTCGGACCGAGATGTTCGTTTTACTTCAAGGTTTTGGAAGCGGTCTCATGATGAGATGGGTACTCGTCTCTACTTCAGAACCGCTTTCCATCCTCAGACAGATGACAGAGCGAGAGGACGATTCAGACTCTCAAGGACATGCTTCGCGCATGTGTATTAGATTTCGGTGGCAGTTGGGATACGTATCTTCCGTTAGTGGAATTTTCGTATAACAACAACTACCACGCCAACATAGACTGACCTCCATTTGAGATTATCTTTGGGAGGAAGTGTAGGACCCCAATCTGTTGGGGCGAGGTTGGTTAGAGAGTCATAGGGAGTACCGAGGTGGTACTCAAGACCACCAACATGATCCAGCAGGTCCGAAGCAGGTACCGGGCTGCTCAGAGTCGGCAGAAGAGCTACGCCGACAAGCGTCGTTCAAACCTGGAGTTTCAGGTGGGGGATATGGTTCTCCTGAAGGTTTCACCTTGGAAATGTGTTATCTGGTTCAGGAAGCGGGGCAAGCTGGGCCCCAAGTATATAGGTCTGTTTAGGGTTTTAGCTTGGGTGATCCGGGTTGCTTACCGGTTAGGCCTTAAAGCAGAGCTCATCCAGATCTACAACATCTTCCATGTTTCTCAGTTACGGAAATGCTTAGTGGATGACTCACCAGTGGTACCCCTAGAGGATATCCAGGTTGATGACAACCTGAATTACATAGAGAGACCGGTAACTATTCTCGAAAAGAAGACTAAGGAGAAAAGGAACAAGAGGGTTGAGCTAGTAAAGGTGCAGTGGAAGCACTGCAAGGGCTCGAAGTAGACTTGGGAGCCTGAGGAGGAAATGAGGGAGCACTACCCCGAGTTATTCAAGGCAGCAGACTTCAAGTAAGAAGTCTAAGACAAGTGGGTGAGAATTATAACGTCTGGTTTCCTGGTACATATTTAAAGATTAAATTACTCATTTTTACAAGGCAACTTGATGTGTTGGTAGCCCCAAACTCGTCGAGTAGAGATTAAAAAGGGGAATGCGGTTCTTGAAGTCTACTCGCTGAGTTGGGAAGCCCCGATTCGACGAGTAGGACTGCCAGAAGGAAACCCTAACTTTAAGGGTTTGGCATCCTATTTAAAGAACATAACACCCCATTGTGGCCTCCCTCATCGTCTCCCATTGTCCAAAAAACCCTAATTCAAACCATAGAGCATTTTGTGAGTGTGTGAGCCATTTTTGAGTAATCTTTGTGAGTTCTTGAAGCTTGAAGAAGAAGAAGGAGCTAGAAGGTTCAAGGAGAAGATAGTAGATCTAGAGACTTCTTTCTACCCTTATCATTTGTTGGTAAGCAAGTCTCTAACTTGGCTATTAGTTCATTAGATCTCCTTAGTTCCATTTTATGAGGGTTTTGGTTCAAGAATCTTGATCTTTGGGATATGGACGTCCCAAGTGGCTTACCTTTCAGATCTGGGATCTAGAAAGGGTTTCATTGGATAAATGTGAAAACTTTATGGCCATGGGAGCCCCATGCAAGCTTAAAAATGTTATTATGGCCTTTTTAGCCCCAAAAGGCCATGCATGGAAGTAAAGTCCAAGGCTTTACGTGTTCAATGGGGTTTTAGGACCTAGAACTCGGTTTTCATGCTTTGGGTTGGAGTAATAAGGCTTTTAGACAAAGATCTATGTCTTAAGGAACTAGAGTTTTGGCTAAACCAACTAAGAAGGATTATTAAAGGGTAAAGTTGGAAACTTTACCCTTAGAAGGGCATTTACTGTGTGTAGATGAAGTAAGAAGCTTAGATCTGAAAAGTAGGGGCTTAACCCTTTGAGGTGGCCCAAACAGACAGGAGAACTCGTCGAGTCCATAGAGGAACTCAACGAGTTGGGTCTTGTTGTCCCGTTTCAGCTGAAGATAGAACTCAACGAGTCTTTGAAGGGAATCGACGAGTTGACCCGTTTAATCGTGACTATGAATGGACAGGGAACTCGGTGAGCCAGGAGGATGACTCGGCGAGTTGGATCATGATTTTAGGGTTTTCGAGTAATAGAACTCGGCGGGTTGATAGACCAACTCAGCGAGTTGAGTCAATCAGAATATTGACTTTGACCCGAACGTTGACTTTGACCAGGGGTAAAATGGTTATTTTACCCTGTGAAGGATTATCAGATTTTGACTAAGTGTATTGTATTGTTGATAGTCAGGGAGTCGTTGGAGTAGCCATCAGAGATTCCTCACACGAGATTTCAGCAGACAGTTTGAGAGGTGAGTTTTCTCCTGTAGGAACAGGTCTACGACCACAATGCCGACCCGTTTAGATATTAGCAGTTTCGGGTTACGATCCGATGCCGTATAGGGCCCAATGTAGGTTAACTGCTTTCCGGATTATATGATCCGATGTCGGGGCGGTCCTGAGGAACATTTATGTATGCTTGATGTCTTTGTGATTCTTGCATGTGCTTGTTTTATGTGTTTCCGGACTTCGGTCCGATGCCGGGGCAAGCCTGATGTATGTTTAGATTATATGTTATATGTTATGTGTTCCGGGCTTCGGTCCGATAATGGGGCAAGCCCGATGCATGTTTAGCTTATATGTTATGTGTTATGTGTTCCAAACTTTGTTCTGATGCCAGGGCAAGCCCGAGGGATGTTTATATGTTTTATGTTATGTGCTTATGTTATATGCTTGTTTATATGTATGCCGAAATTCTGTCCGATGCTTGGGCAAGCCCGATGTCGGGTGGAGCCCGATGCTAGATACGGTCTGATGTCGGACGGGGCCTGATTCTGGGCAGGGTCCAATGTCGGGCAAGTAGGGATGTCAACGGGACCAAACGGGAGCGGAAATAGCTGCCTCCGCTCCCGCCCCCAAAATCAGTTGGTGCACCCGCTCCCGGTCCCGCCCCCGGCTCCCCCGCTTACATAGCCCCCGGTCCCGTCCCCGTTCCCCAGTTCCCCCGGTTTATAGGCTTAAAATTTGTTTTTTTTTTTTTTTTTTTTTTGCTAAACAACTACTTTGGTTTAGGTTAAAAAGACTATTTTTAACAACTTTAAAAGCTTATAACCTAATCTTTTAGAAACTAAAAAATTAAAAATCCAACATTACAAAATGACAATTCTAACAATCTTATAAATATAAAATACGACAAATCCAATATTATAAATATAAAATACTTATATGTCCAAAATTATATGATCAATTCACTACCTCTTCAATATTCATTAATTGGAAATGGGAAAGTAAAACCTAACTTAAACCTAAAATTAGAAAATCTATTTTGTATATGTATTTTATATTAAATATATATTTTTTACATAAATGTACAACCGGGGTCCCTGCGGGAGTACGAGACGAAAATACCAACTCCCGACCCCGGTCCCGAAAATAAGCGGGGTTTAATTTTGCCCCCGCTCCCGCTCCCAATTTTTTTAAAAATTTAGTCCCGTACGGGATCGGGGTCCCACAGGGGTTTTTGACATCCCTACAGGCAAGCCGATGCCGAGTTCGTCCCTATGAAGCAGGGTGGGGTCCCAAGATATGTTATGTGATATGTGTATGATATGTGGTAGTTTGGGGAGCTCACTAAGTTTCGTGCTTACGTTTTTCAGTTTTGGTTTCGGTTACTTCCATTAGCAAAGGGAAGGGTTCGGGATAACTACATGGTACACCACAACTTTTAGCTTGGGATGATTACTATGATATTTTCATATTTGATTTTGGATACGTTGATATTGGTTTTGATATGATGTTTTGAGATATCACGACTTATGGTTTTATATATTGAATGGTAATTATGGTTTTATTAATGATTTAAAACAAAAATTTTGGATTGTATTTTTGGGATGTTTCATTTTGCAAAGGGTTTCTAAATTCAACCAATTTTTACAAAAAATACCCACCTCTCTACTTGTTCCTACAACACGCTCAGTAAAAAGGAGACCATTCTTAAAAATCCCTCAACTTCGTAGATCTTTAGACCTTGGAATTTCGACCACTTCTGATCCAGTTTTGTCTACCACATCTTCAAAGTGTCTCTCTTTGAGAAACAAATAAACATAGTATACTTGAACTTTCTTGGTTAAGGTGCTCTAACAGGAAATTCTTCACTCAAATAAACTTTTTGTCAGTTTTTGTAACGAATTTGTACTATAAACCACAAACAAAATTACAAACCGCACCATAAATGTCAAAAACAGCATTATACGGTGCGATGTGGACAGTTTGTGCGGTTTGTACGATTTGGTGCACCCTTAGTTTGCTTTACTACTTGTAACTCAACCAAAGTACAAATCTAGTTCCTATCAAGTGTCATCCTTAGCTTTTTTCCATTATATAGAATCTTTTATTCTCAAAGCCTATATCAGTTTGGTAGAGAATATCCACTTAGATCTTCTACCAATTTGGATTTTTAAATGTACTTCATATGTAGTCCCATGACATGATGATGGAAGTCAAAGTGGTTGAGATGTGACATTCAACACTGGAGATTCATGATTAAAATAATGACACTTTAAAAATATGTTAGTTCTCCGCGATTAACCTTCCGTATAATGGGCCTTGGGGCGGTTTTGACATGAGTCGCTTGAATGGTGTGCTTTTCCTTTCTTTAGTCCCGAATTGTTGAAGGCGAACGCCCACATTTGGCAATTATTGTTGCTAGATGTGCTGTAATGCGTTACATATTTTCCCATATTTTAGGCCAAAAAAATATTGAGGGAATTTCATTCGTTCTCAACATTTAGATATGTTTTCAACTCATAACGACAAGGAAAAAAAACAGAATAAATAGTAGCTTAAATTCACATATATACGTTTTAGTTCTCAAATTCATTTGTGTTTTTAAAGATTCAAAATATTTTGCAGAAGTCGGCGTACAAATTATATGATTATCTGTAAAAAAAAAAAAAATTAACTTTTTAACTAACATTTGAAAAGGAATATTAGAAAAGCGACTAAAACAAATTAAAATCAACATGAGTATTTATTTATAGCCGGACAAACCGATTATTCTGGGTGCGTAACCTCGCATCCCTTTAGTAAAAGAAACCGGAAAGATTCATTTCCCCCTTTTACTTTCCCTCGTTCTTATCTCAAAAGAACTCTCACACCTTTCAACTTACTTCCCACGTGTCTACATATAATTGGTGTACTGCCTACAGCCTACATAGTCCCTTCCGCATTGGATCTGAACTCCATATAAACTAGTACTATTAATTTACAGCCCACGTCAATCCACTATAAATGAAACCAACTTTCTAATTCCAATACAAACTTATCCTGGAAAACGAAATCACTCCCAGCTTCCTAGATCAACACACACTCACACTCGGTGTGTCTCAGGTGATCAAGGAAGCATGGGGTCATGGAATTCAACAGGAATGGAGGTTTTGTCCAGTGTATTGGGATGGATTGCATTCTGTGCTTGGTCTATCAGCTTCTATCCACAAGTCATATTGAATTTCAAAAGGAAAAGGTAAGTGTTCGATTGAAATTGAGTATATATGATCTATTTATGCTACTTCAATGTTTTTCCAACTTATTACACTGCTATGTGCTGAATTAATTTCTCCGAATTGGACTGAAACCTGCAGTGTGATAGGGCTGAATTTCGATTTCGTGGTGCTCAATCTGACTAAGCATTCATCTTATCTGATATACAACGCCTCCGTCTTCTTTAGCTCGGCGGTTCAACGTCAGTATCGCCAGAAATATGGCCTCGATGAGGTTTTATCTGTCACCACTACATTTGTATTTCCATTTTCCATACACAGATGTTTAAGAGCAAGGTCATGTAGACATGTCGCTTATAGAATTGTGTTTTCAAATTGAATTCATGTTCGTTGAGATGGAAAGTAAAATATCCTTTCTAAAAAATCGAAATTCCTTACATTAATTAGATCAATTTTGAAGGATCCAGATTTCATTCAACTTACATTTGAACAGTAAAAGTTGAAACTTTAAGCCTTAGAACATGAATTTGGGCATCACAGTTGATTATAGATCATATCAAATGAGTTAGTTGTTGATGTATGTTTGCCTGGATGCATTTGCAGATGATACCTGTAGCAGCAAATGATGTTGCCTTCTCCATTCATGCAGTTGTTCTAACTGCATTTACCTTATTCCAGATAGCCATATATGATGTAAGTATCTACAATGATCAACAATCACATCTGATTTGAAGTGTTGATGAATAGTCAAAGATGATTCGTTGATTCCTTCAACATTTCAACTACTGTAGTATCATTATCATACAGTAAAAGACCCTAGCTAATTTATTGTATTTTTTGCAGCGTGGAGGTCAGAAGGTCTCCAAGACTAGTATTTTAATACTCTCAGTAGCCTGGTTAACTGTTATCATCTGTGTGTTCATAGCTATACCTAGTCATTCATGGCTTTGGTTGGTGTCTTGCTTTAGGTAACTTGTTTCATTCTATTTCTAATTATCATCAAACCTAATTTACCCAAATTTATATAAATAAAGCTTGTTCAACTTGTGAATTGCAGCACATTACAGGTTGTCATGACAGTGATCAAGTACATACCCCAAGTAAGGAGTGTTCTTAATTAGCTTGCTTTTAATTTATGGGTTTATATTGTTTTTTATATAAAAAATATATGAATTCAGGCAGTTATGAACTTCCAAAGAAAGAGTACAGTTGGGTTTAGCATTGGGAACATTTTGCTTGATCTGGTTGGAGGATTAGCAAATTATGGGCAAATGACTGTCCAATCTATAGATCAACGTATGTTATCTTTTAATCCAAATTTCACAGTAAAAAAGTTAAGGAGCATATACCCTAACATATTCTTCTCTCCTTTTACTTGTATTTCTCAGATTCATGGGTAAACTTTTATGGGAATATAGGCAAGACATTGCTCTCTTTGGTATGTGGTCACTTTCTCTTTATCAATATTACTCTCGAAAGATTATTTCTTAAAAGAAAAGGGGATTTTCTTTATCATATGCAGGTGTCTATTTTCTTTGACATCGTGTTTATCTTGCAACATTATGTGATTTACCCTGCCCACAAGATTGTGAAATCTGAAAGTCCAGGCATGGTAAGTCAGGAGCCACTTGTTACATCTAATGAAGATGCGTGAAGTTTTGTTTCAATTTGGCTATAATTTTCAGCTTCTTCTTGATTTTTTTTTTTTTTTTTTTTTTTTAAAAAAAAAAAAAAAAATGCTGATTTGCAGTTCTGTAATGTGTATATAATATATCTCATGGTTCTTCCCTTATAGAAGCTAACTTAAAGGTTATATTTACAAAATGTTGTGTATCTGATGGTTATATGATCCGTTTACAGGATAATGTATAAACAGACAATTGAAGCTTGTAAAAAGCTTCAAATATGCCATCCATGTATGGATATATGATGATCTTTATACCCATGGGTTCCATCCTAAATTTAATAGTTTTTAGTGAAAAGTATTAAAAAATTTAGGTTAGTTTTGTAATATTTAAATACTCAGTTTATCGATAATTCAGAAAATACGGAAAAGGCCCTCAATGTATTTTGTGTGTGTGTGTGTGTGTGGTGTGAAGATGGGAAAAGCAGCAAATGAATATGACCAAAAGCAACACGCTGCCTTACAAAATGTAAATCTATTTCTAACATGTTTAGTGTTTTCATTTTGAACATGGGTAGAAGATAAGTATATGGCACTGGCACTATCTTAAAATACAATGTGCAAGACACATGGCGCAATAAAGCTCAAGAAGAAGGTTGCAAAGCCAAGCAGTCCCATCAACAACATTAACCTAAAAAGACATAATACCTTGAAGTAGATTAAGAGACAAATTTTGTCACCTAAAAAGACACAATGCCTTGGTGCAGAACTCTCTAGGAGACAAATTTTGTCACCTAAAAGACACAATACCTTGAAGTAGATTAACGAGTCATAGGGCATCCCACCTAGGTTGCATAAGTGTAAGAGACCAAACGTACCATTAAATATGGATGAATTTGAAGCCTATAAGAGAGTACACCGAAGATAGCTAAGGATATGGTTCAACGTATTCATGTGGATTGTGTATATAGAGGCAAATTTGGTGGAGAACATAATATAGTGACTAAGAGCCCAATAGAGCCCCAATAGGGCTATAGTAAAGGGTCGTGATAAGGTACATGTTTACAACCATAGGATATCTTGGAAGAGGGATTAGACGATGAATGTGACTGAGAACCCAATGGCTTGTATGTATAAAAGCAAAAGAGAGATCAGACGATGAATGTGACACAATAATGCTAAAAAATGATGATCAGATCGGTGAGTTCATGGCCAACTCAATAGATAGCCATGAACATGAAGAGAGGGACAAAGGGATATCAGATTTTGCATATTTGCTTCTATAGAATCCTAAAGAGGACAATAAACACAAAACATCGATACCAAGCACAAGTGGCTTGTTTAAGGTCGTAGAGAGCTTTTCGAAGCTGGCGAAAATGATCATGTTAGAAATATCCACGTTCAAAATAGCACTTTTCATATCAAATTCATGAATGGGCCAACCCCATAAAACGGTATTGCTAAAAATGGTATGAATGTTTACATGCTTGACTAAGAGGCTAAAAATCATATTAACGTCCAAATTGGGATGTTGATAAAACGTTGTGGCCATTAAACGACAATTATAACGGTCAGAATTACCATGGCCACCAAATATATGACAAAAGATCCTTCGATAGTTAACAATGTTGACTCAGGGAGGTCGAGAAACTAATTAGCATGAGCATTGGAAAGCAAGGTAGATATTTCAGAGTCTATAGCAGCTCTCCAACGAGGGTTACACAAAGCATGAACATGATACTTAGGAATGACATAATGCATAATGGTGGCCGATAGATTAAGAAGTTGGCGAGGTTTGAAAGATGATTATCATGGTATGAACGGAGACATGAGTCAAGGAAGAAATGTTAGACACAATCAAATAGTGAGGGACTAAAATGGTTGGATGGTGGATGTTGTCGTAGTGGTTAATTAGGATGAAGAAGGATCCACGATGACTACCACAAGATGAGAAGATGAATCGAGGGTTTTTCAATGCTAGTAGGGTCGATATGAATGGTTAAAGAGGGAGGTATACGAGTAAGGGAAATGAAAGGGGACATATCATCATTCAACATGTTAAATACTACATATTCCTAAGGGAGGAAGCGAGTGAAAGGAAGTTAGTTTTCAATATGACATGAAAATAGATCATAAATTACTAAGTGATAAGATTGAGACAAGGATAGCCCGAATGATCGGGAAAGGGACCAAGAAGACATATGCAGTAAAGTATGGAGCAAGCTTATGACTTATGGTGTCAACAAGATAGGGATGGCATAGACAACCAAATACACAAGGTGAGGGTAGGAAGAAAATGTTGGAAATAGTATCAAAGGTCATTAATTGTTTAGTAATATTTCTGATAATAACAGGATCCTTTTGGGTTGGCCTCATGACCCAAATAGCAATAAGGAAATTGATTAAAATAAGTTATTAATTTATTAAGTAATTAATAAATTAATTAAAGAGCTTGAATATTAATTAAATCCTAGTGATTAACTGGAATATTCCAGAAGTTCCTGGAGACCATGTCATGGATGGTTTTGATAGGCTCCCTGATAGGGATAAGACAGGTTTGAATCAGATAAGGATTAATCTGAAGAGTTTGAATCCATTTGGAATTTATCAACATCCATAAATAAATTGTTAGGGTCAAGCCCTAGTTGATGATTCTCTTCAATTTTTGTATAACCTCTCTCTCTCTCTCTCTCTCTCTCTCTCTCTCTCTTTCTCTCTCTCTCCTAGTGGACAAAATTCATAACATATTTCCTAGGGTTAGTGAATTTCTGTGACACTTGGTGTGACAACCGTTAATTTCTGGCCAAGTCAAAGTCAAACAAAGTCTCTCTCAATCTTTTTCGCTCTATCTCTCTCTCTCTCTCTATCTCTCTCTCTCTCTCTCTCTCTCTTTCTCTCCCAAATCTCTCTCATAACCTCTCTCAACTTTTTACAATCACTCGGGGCATTCTAACCCTTAACTTAGTAAAAAACCTCTCAAAACGGGAAGTTTATAAGAAAAACAGCTATTTAGGGCCGAAACCCTAGAAACCGAACCTTAAGAAGTGAAATTACTAAGAGCCGAAGCCGAAGGTCCCTTTCGGACCGAAACCCTGAAGACCGAACTTCCAAGGCCAAGCAAACCAAAACTCTAAAGAGCTGAAGCCGAACTGCTGAGGACCGAACCTACTTTCAGTTCGGATCGCTTCGCCTTCGCTTCTCGAATACCCCCGCCTGCCTTCGATTTCGGTTCCCATTAGCGAGTTTGCCTGCACCGCCTTCGGACCGAGCCCTCCCACTCGGTTCTTAGAGACCGAACCTCACAGCTTCGCTTCTTGGTTCCAGTTTTCGAGTACGTTCGCGTTTTAAGCCCATTTTTCATGATTTTAAAGTGGGATTTTCACCCAAACTTATATTTTGATATATAAGACCATATATATTCAAATTTTAATCACATTTTGGGGGAAATATTTATCTAAGAATAATATCTTTTGTGCAAGATATTGATTATGAGTGTTCACTTTTCCATAAAGTAATGACACAAGCTATCTCCTATACCTACTCTATGACAACCTCCAGTCACTATTCATCTCTAGCTAGTCAACTATTTGTCCTTTCACACTCTTCTCCATCAAGTTATCTTAATCAAAGGCTAGATAAGTCTTTATCTCTCCTCCCACAATAGTTACTCTATCACCAAAAAGCAAACATATCTCTTCCATTTTCCCTCTCTAAAACTCGAAGACTTCAAGGCTGATATTGAGCTTTTCACTCACTTTTGGTAACTATTTTCATCCGACATTGGAACATTCTACACACCTTCACTCAAATCATGGATTTCTTACACAAATATCGACATATTTGTTCTTAGGATCTTCAAATCTTCAAGCATCTTGCAAGTGTTCTTGACTTGGAAACCTCTTCTCTTCATCATCCCTCCCAATAAATCAGTCAATGTGAGTTCATACCCCCACATTTTTCATGTTTTCTTCAAGTTTTAGGGGGGGGGGGGGAATACAAGTTAAAACATCAAAAAATTAACTAAACTCAAACATCAACTTTCCACAGGAAAGTTAATGTTCATTCACGAACTGTTTTGACCAAATTAAGCTTAAAAGTATTTCAAAACTGTTTAATATGAAAATAGTAAAAGTTTATAGCTTTAAAATCACTACTTGCACATATTTATACAATTTTTCTACAATTTATGGTGATTTTTACAAAACTGTCTATCACTGTAGCTACGAATTCGGACTAGTATGTGAATATGAACATTTTCACACAAGTTAGAGATCATTAAAAATCATAATAAAAATTATGAACAGACTAGACATATTTTCTAAACTCTTAGATTTTACGGATTTAGTTTTCGACTTTGTATGATTTTTATGTGGTTTTTCTAAAACAGTGCAGAAAAGTTAAAAACTAGTGAAACAACTTACAATTTTTATAACTCTTTGTAACATGTTGAGCAAAGTGTTTATCTTTAATGACTTCATATTTTACATGTGTTTCTGTTGTGATACATTTAAATAACAGAAATTACTCATTGAATTGTAAGAGTCCTTTGTCATTACAAACATACAAGACGAAACATAATAAGAATAGTTATGTTTGCTAAACTACTACTTACCCCGAAAAGGTTTTACACTAAATACAAACGGGTTTCATTTACTACACGATAAACTATAATAGGTATAGTTTATGAATTTCACATTATAAACATACTGCACGAAAAGGGGGTTCGATTCCACCACAAACAATGTTTTACACTCATACTACACGTAAACTCGTTGTCGTAATTTGTGAGACTAGTCTTCATTGTACTCTTAGAGTACGGGTTAAAATGCATGTTAGTTATAACCAGAGTCTCTTGTAGGGAGAGCATGATAATTGTGTATAGATCTATATTGGGATTGCCAACCCACACCCATTGCTGCTTGGAATAGCCCGACCGGCCAGTCGGGGGTGACAAATGTCATTTCGATTCTGACGCCTGAAGAACGTAGCAACAGGTCTTCTCTGTCATAGTATGGTTATAGCGACTCACATAGGGAGATAACGACACATATAGTTTACGTGAAATTATATTTTAAAAGGGATTTATTTATTTAAATCTACATACATTGTTGCAAGTACGAAATAACAGGCATACACTCGGTCTTGGGATTTAAGACTACATAACATTTTATAAGGAAAATATTGGATTTTCTTGGTTATACATATCATCTGCAAACAAAGGTTTTCAAACTCTACATCCAAAAGCTTATGAACTCATCAACTTAATTGTTGACACTTTTTCAAAACTACTTGTATTCTTAGGTAATCAGTAAAACAGGTAACTGCCAGGTTTTGAGGATGGGACACTATGACGTCAGGGAAAAACATTTTGTCATTATATTGTAATCGATTTTGAAGCATGTAAACTTTTGAAATCTTGTAACTTTCTCGATTATATTTATAATGGTTGTATTTACTTTGAGTACTATTATACACGAAGTCCTCCACCCCCGGACGTTTCCGCCACCCTTAG